AGGCAGCTCCCTGAGCCTCTCGGTTACCTCTGACTCCCAGCTCCTCAAGTCCGGCTCAGAGCCTGATCCAGACATCACTAAGCCTGCAGGGCACCTGACCCTTACTGGGGTGTCTCCTTCCCACAGGCCTGCAGGGCAGGGGAGGGTGGGGAGCTCCTACCTTCCAAAATACCGTGTCAAAGTCAGTCCCGTGAAACTTTTCAGGAATCCCCGAGGTGGACAGCTTGGGCCCCAGTAACGTCACGAACTCTTCAAAGTCCACTTGGCCATCACCTAACCGCACAGAGAGGGAGTGAGCCTGGGCCCGAGGGGGGAGTCATGAAGGGGAGGGGGGGGGGCCGGGGAGCCGGGCTTTGTTCTTTGCCGGTCAGCCTTGGACAAGTGGCTTCCTTCTCTAGAGCCCAGTGTCTGCCATCTATAAAATGAGCATACGGAATACCACCAGATCGCTTCTGGCATCAAATGAGATAACAGATGTGATTAAAAACTTTGAAAAAGTCAGATTTGAATGTGTGGCCTCATACACAGTAGGGGCCCAATGTTTGTTGAATGGATGGATAGATGGATGGATGGGTGGGTAGGTGGGTGGGTGGATAGATGAATAAATGGATGGATAGATGGGTGAGTGAATAGATAGAGGGATGGAGGGAGGAAGAGAGGGATAGAGGGAGGTCTGGGGTCAGCCATGCTGACTTTAACACACCAGAGACGTTAGCTTGTCGGCCAAATGAAGCCCTATTCAGCAGGAGTCTACTTCCCTCCTAATTCCACTATTAGTTTATCTACTTTGCAGATTTTCAAGCTTTATATAAGTCAGTCGCCAAGCATTTATTAAGTGCTTACTGTGTGCCAGCCACTGCGCTAAGCTCTAGGGCTACAAATGCAAGCCAAAAGAAAGCTAGTTCCTGCCCTCAGGGAGTTTCCATTCTAATGGGGAAGACAATGGTAGAAAGGGAAAGGGGGGGAGGGGCTTGGTGGTAAATCCAGGAGAGTGAGAAGCCGAGCTAGAGCTGGCAGCCCTGGGGGGATATCACCAACGGGAGACGCACCCGAAGTCACCCAAAGGTGTCTGACTCTTATTATGGTCTCCTGACACAGTGCTCCCCGCACCTGGAATGCTCTCTCTCCTCAACCCAACCTCTTAAGGATCCCTAGTTCCCTTCAAAGCTCCGCTCAAGCCGCTTCCTCCCAGACATCTTCCCTGATTCTCACCTTCCCACCTAGGGTCTCCCTTCTACCAAGTATACACACTTTCAATATGTATTATTTGTGTACATATTGAAGACTTCTTTTATTTACTTTTAATGCTTATGTGTGTGTACATATTCCTAAAAAATAGAATGTAAACTCTTCGAGGGCAGGCATCATTGTCTTTCTGCTCTTGTATCTCAATCATCCTAGTATAATGCTTAGCACATGTTGAGGTTGAGTTATTTCAGCCATGCCCGACTCTTTGTGACCCCATTGGAGTCTTGGCAAAGATATTGGAGTGGTTTGCCGTTTCCTTCACCCCCTCATTTTTACAGATGAGGAAACTGAGGCAAACAGGGTGAAGTGACTTGCCCAGGATCACGCAGCTAATAAATGTCTGAGGTTAGATTTGAACTCGGGTCTTCCTGATCCTAGGCCTGGCTCTATCCACTGCGCCACCTCCCTGCACATAGTAGGTGCTTAATAAATGTTTGCTGATTGGTTAATTGATTGCTATAGTCACCATTTTAAAGAGCAAAACCAGAGTTTGCTCTGAGTTTCCGCTAAGGTCACAATTGGCTCTCCCATTTATTGTGAGACCTTGGGCCTCAGTTTCCCAATGGTGTGGGATCACATCATCTCTAAGGCCAGCTTTGAGTGCATAGTCCTCTGCCACCCTTGACACAGCTGACTGATGGCCGCTGGTTTGACCACCAAGGAGAGGGAGAGGAGACAGTTAGAACTGGCCCCAGCGGTGAGCCTGGGGGACATTGTGAGACATCAGAAGCATTTCCCAAGAGCCAGAAGCATGAGGCCGGGCTTTGTGTGGCCAAAGAGGCTGGGGCAGGGGTTGGCAAGTGGACAGGCTTCCCGGGGGGAGACGTCAAGGAGCCCCTGCTGGGGGCCGGTGTTGGGGAGCCCTTGGAGGTCCTACTACGAGGGAGGTGGGAAGACAGGGCCTGAACAGAACAAAAGTCGGTTTGTCTATGGTCAGCCCCGAGCTGGGGACCTTGGGGGTCCAGGGACTAAATGGGGCAGAAAGCCCTGAAAGAGTGAGAGGAAGAAGTGAGGAGAGAAGGGAGAGCTGGGTAGAATGGGAGCTCCCCAAGGGCAGGGCCCTCTTGTCCTGTTTCTTATCTGTGCCTCAGTAGGAGGAACCTCATAAATGCTTGTGGAATGACTAAATGAGGGATCCGAGATTTAGAGCTGGAGGGACCTGGGAGATCTTTGCATATTACAAAAGAGGAAACTGAGGCCCGGAAGAGGAAGAAATTAGCCAATGATCACACAGCCAGCAAGAGTCAAAACCCAGGTCCTCTGGCTCTCAATGCAGCATTTTGCCCAGAACACCCCTCAGGCAGCTCAGATGAGAAAACTAAGCCCGTGAGAAGGCGGGGAGATGGACCCCATGACTCCCAGGGACTCCTCCTGCCCCACTGTCCTGCTTCATTCCTGGTCTATTACTTCTGCTGCTCTTCAGCCATGTAGCAGCCTCAAGCTGCCCGGTCTGTCAGTCTGGCTCATCCTTCTTTCTTCCTTTTTCATTCCTCCCTTCACTCCTTCCTCCTTTCTTCTCTCCTTCCTTCTTTCTCTCCTTCCTCCTTGTTTTCCCCCTCCCCCTTTCCTCCTTCCTCTCTCCCTCCCTCCTTCCTCCTTTCCTTCCTCCCTTCCTCCCTCCCTCCCTCCCTTCCTTCCTCTCTTCCTCTCTCCCTCCCTCCTTCCCTTCCTTCCTCCCTTCCTTCTTCTCTCCCTCCCTCCTTCCCTCCCTCCCTCCCTCCCTCCATCCTCCCCCAGGACACCCCCCCCCCTCTGGCCCCCCAGGCCCCAGGGTGGCCAGCAGGGTGATCATCTCTGATCATCTTGTTACCAGGGCTGCCTGGGGCACAGTGTAACCTTCCCTGTGCCAGAGGGCTCCTCAGCAAACAGCAGGGAGGAGGCTGAGGTAATGAGGAGGCATATTAATGAGCCCTGGTGGGCCAGCCGGGGCCAGGACAGGCGCCCTACCACTTAATTACCATATGCTGCTTCCTCAGCTGGCCCGTGTGTGGGAGCTGCTCTGGGCAGCCTCAGAGGACAGGACAGAGAGAGCGGGGTGAATGGGAGGAGGAGAGAAGGAGACAAGAGGCATACAGGGAGGGAGCAGGTGAGGAAGCCACAGGGGAATGGCGGATGGAATTGCCAGACGGTCCAAAAATGGGCTCTGTGTCTGAGCAGAGTTCTGGGGCACGTCAGGTCGTCTGGGGTCAGTCATTGACTGCCCTCTGCCCGAGAGATGGGACAACAGCCAAAACCACCTGGTGAGAGAAAGTGTGTACAAGGAGCCTCAGTTTCCTCATCAGTAAAATGGAGATAAAAACACTCTCACTACCTCACACAGGGTCATGAGAATCAAATAAGATGAAATCCATAAAACACTTTGTGAGCCATAAATCAATATGCAAATGTGCATTATTATAATTAACCTCCCTGTGCCTCAGTTTCCTCACCTGCAAAAGGGGGATAATTATATTTGCATCCCTTCCCTCACAAGGCCCCTTGAAAAGAACAAAGGAGACAAGGCATATGTTGAGCTTTGTGTAACGGACCGCATCAAAGCCACTTGGCATTCTTTAACCTCTCCATGCCTCAGTTTCCTCACTTCAGTTTTCATTGCAATAAAGACCTGATGACCCAGGAGTTAGGAGACATGTTCTGCTCTCTAACTGACTTGCTGTTTGACCCTAGGCACACCCCTTCCCTTCCTTGGGCCTCAGTTTTCTCATCTGTAAAACAGGGATAATCATACTCACACATACCCCTCATATTACAGGGTAGTTGTCAGAAAAGGGCTTTGCAAGTGGAAGCCGTTGTCATTACTTACACCAGCTCAGCGGAAGTCAGCCTCACTGGCTAGCTGTTCTGCCCTGCTTCATTTCACATATAATATAAAGCAAGGCCCAGAGACTTGCCTGAGGTCACACAGCGAGTAAGCGTCAGAGCCAGGGCTCGAACCCAGGTGCTCCAGCACGCTTGGTGACCCTCAGAATGTCCCACTGAGGTGGGGAGGGTGAGGTTTTATCAGAGGAGTAGACCGAGGCCCAGGGAGCAGAAAGGATGTGCCCTTCCTAGATCCGGGTTAAGTGTCTGAGCTAGAATTCAGACCCGGGCGTCCTGATGTCACATCCAGGGTTCTCTGCCACACCCTGACATCTCTTCTAGGAGCATGGGAACGTAGGACTGAGAACAGGAAGGAGCCGTGGGAGTCATCTGCAACAGCTGCTTCATTTTACAAAGGAGGGAAATGACTTACCCAAGGCCACTCATTGTTAGGGGCACTGGGGTGTGGGCAGAGGGAAGCTCAAAGGTCCACCCTTGTTCATTGAAGACAAGAGGTGGGCCCAGGGAAATGGGGGAGGAGGAGAGAAATAAGTGGAGGCTCCTCAGAGACGCAGCCTGACACTGGCAGGTGGCGTATTCCCTGCCGGGAGCTCCCCTTAGCTGGGTCTGCCTAGAAGGAGGTCTGGAAGGGGCGGCATGGAGGCAGGGATGTCCAGGGCTGGGGCCAGGACAGTGACAAGGTGAGGATGGAGGGGAGAACACCGGAGGGGCAAGGGGCATAGCCCCGGATGGAGGAGGGGCCCTAAGAGGGATGAACAGAATGGAAAGGAGATAGAGGGAAAGGAAGAGGAGACATGAGAAAGTGAGCGGATTATAATGAGAAAAGCAGGAAGTGATCGGACCAGGGTCATGCGCGTAGTGAGATCAGAGTAAGGATGGGAGGCTTGGTCTCCTGGCCCACTGGCTGGCATTCTTTCTTCCAAGGAGCAGAGACAGAAAGAAAGGGGAGACTCAGGTGGATGGGAAGGCTTGGCTTCCCTGGGGGGAGTGGGGGCAGGCTGGGGCCCGAGGCGCCAGGGAGGGGGTTACCGTCCATGTCCAGCCGCTGAATGATGACCTCCAGTTCCACCTCGTTGGGCATGTAACCCAGGGAGCGCATGGCGGTGCCCAGTTCCTGCTTGGAGATGAACCCATTACCATCTCTGTCAAACACTTTGAAGGCCTCACGGATTTCTGTGGGGAGAAGGAGCCTGGCTCACCAAGGCCCAGAGACCCTTTCCTTGTCCCTTCCAGGCCTAGGCTCTGCTCTTGGGTCCCTGCCTCACAGCCCCCCATCCACTACATTGGGGTCTGTATCTGAGGGAGGTGCACTGACCTGCCAGACATGCTTGAGCCCTCGCCTTTTCCTGAATTACAAACCCAACCAAGCATTAAAAACAAAAAAAAACAACAGACGAACCCAAACTTCCTCAATATCTGAAGGTCCTGGAGCAGCTAGGTGGCACAGTGGATTGAGCACTGGCCCTGGAGTCACGAGGACCTGAGTTCAAATCTGGCCTCAGACCAGACTTGACACTTACTAGCTTTGTGACCCTGAGCAAGTCACTTAACCCCAATTGCCAAAAAAAACAAAACAAAAAAAACCAAAACAACACACAAAAAATATCTGAAGGTCCTGGGATATCAAAGATCAGAGATTTAAAAGCAGAAAGTCATCTAGAGGAGGTAACTGAGGCACAGAAAGGCAGTGACTCAGTCACACGGGTGGTAAGCATCAGAGCTAGGATTTGAACCCAGATCCTCTGATTCTCCTTCTAGCACTCTTGCTGTTGCCCACCATGATTCCATCCCCACTGATGGAGACCCCAACCCCTCTAGCCTGAGAGCTGCCAAGCTGTGGCTGGACTCATGACAAGCCTCTCTGTGCAGCTAGGCTGGTCTTCAGGCAATAGAATCACAGAATCTAATTGGAAGGGGCTTCAGGGGCCACAACCATATAACAATGGGCATTTATAGAGTGATTTAGGGTTTTTAAAGCCCTTTACTCATATCATCTCATTGGATCCTCATGACAAGCCTGTGAAGTTGGTGCTCACTCCCATTTTACAGATGAAAAACTGAGGCTGAGAAAGTGACATACCCAAGGTCATACATCAAGTATGTGTCTGAGGCTGGATTTGAACTCAAGTCTTCCTGACTCCAGGTCCAACACTCTTTCTACCTCGCTGCCTCATCTAGTCCAAATCACACATGAAGGAATTCTGTCTATGACTCATCTCCCAAGGAGTCATCCTGCCTCTACAGGGGAGCCCACCACCTCTCTACTTTGGGACATCTCTCATTGCTAGGAAGTGTTCTTCCTGACACCGAGCTTTCATTTGCCTTCACAGTAATTTCTATCCATTGTTCCTGGTTCTGCCCTCGGGGGCCAACAGGACAAAGCTAATTCCCCCTCCCTGTGGCAGCCCTTTACATCCTTGAAGACAGATCTCATGTCCTCCCAGCTAAATATGCCCACTTCCTTCAGTTGATTCTTGTACGTCATGAACTTAAAGCCCTTCGCCATCTTGGTCACTCTCCATGTCTGTGGTGTCCATAGCCAAACCCAGGACTCCAGATGAGGGCATAGGAGGGCTGAACCCAGTGGGACCATCACCGCCCTAGCCCTGGAGGTTCTACCCTTCTGGATGCAGTCTAGATCACATTACTTTTTATGCCAGCAACATCATTCTGCTGACTTTGGGGGAGCTTGCCATCTACTAAGGCCCCCAGACTCTTTTCAGAACAACTGCTATTGATCTAGGCCTCTGCCATCTTCTATGGGTAGAAATCATTTTTTGAAACCAAGTGCAAGACTTTATATTTATTCCTACTGAACTTCATCTTACTAGACTCAGCCCAGTGATCTAACCTGGCAAGGTCCATTTGGCTCCCAAGTGTCACCCAGGGGTTAGCTTTCCCTCCTAACTTAGTGTCACCTGTACATTTGATGAACCTGCCATCTGTGCCTTTATCCACGTCATTGATTAAGATGCCGAATGTCAAGAGACCAAGCACAGGTACTCCACTGCAGAGCTCCTGTCACATTGACCCTGCACCATTAACAACTACACTGGCCATCCAGCCAGGTAAGAGTTCTGGGACTGCAGTCAGGAAGATCCGAGTTCAAATTAACCTCTGGCTATACGATCCTGGGCAAGTCATCTCACCACTGTCCACCTCAGTTTCCTCAAGTGTAAAATTGAGATAAGAACAGCACTTCCTCCCAGCACTGTTGTGAGAATAAAATGAGACAATATCTGTAAAGTGCTTTGTGAAACTTAAAGTGTGATATAAATGCTAATTATTATTATTGTTATTAATTATTATATTAGTGTCTAATCTGCATCCCTCCATCTTCCCTGAAAGAATGAAATAAGAGGCATGCAGTCAGTTACCAGACAGACTCAAAGTGTCTCTAGCTTGATGGGGTCTGTTAGAACCCAGGATCCACGGGCAGAGACTTTGATCAGGTCACCAGGGTCACCCCCACACTGCCAAGAGGCATTGAAGGAAGGCGTTGACCAAAAAACTCAAACACCTGACGAGCAGGTTCGAAGCGGAATTTTTGAAATCTGTTCAATTGCAATGACTCCATGTGCTTTCATGCTCACCTCCTGCTGCTCCTTACCGAAGCCCTCTGCTCCAGCCGGGCTGACCACCTCAGTGGCCCCCTAGATGCTCTGAGTCTTCCCACCTCCGCCCCTTTTCTCCTCGCTGTGTCCTCTCCCCTCCTCTCTTCCCTCCCTCTCTAAATCCCACTTCTCCTTTGGGACTCAGCACTTCTGATCTCTCCAGCTGGAAAGACTCTGAATCATGGATTCTGGAATTGGAAGAGGCCTCAAGGACATGGAGAAGAATCCAGACCAGACACAGACAAGACTCCACTTTAGAAAGGAAGACCTCCCGTGATGCCTCTTGAGATCAAATATGAGGCCTCTTGAGGCAGCGCCTTCCTCTGTTGGACAGCTCCCATGGCGAAGACGGTTTTCCTTCCACTGAGCCTAACCACCCTCCCAGCATGTTCTTCCTCCTCCAGCCTCGGGCCACATCCATTGACTGGCCTTTCTTTGGACACTTCATTAATGGGGTTGGATGGGATTGTCCAATGGTTTGACCAACACTGCCAATTTTAAAAACTGGACCTATGATTTCATTGGAACAGGGATCTCCCAGGTGAGGAAACTCCCTGTAGCAATGCAGATAACCCATCCTTTGCAATGGAAGGTTGTCTTGGAGATCTTCCTGAAGGCACTGAAGGGCATGTGACTTGCTCAGGGTCATACAGCCAGTATGTGTCATAGGCAGGACTTTTATCTAGATCTTCCTGACTCTGAAGTCAGCTTTATTTCCACTGTCATACTGCAGCTCCATGATCATGTCTGAATGCATTTTTGCAGAGAGACAGACTCAGAGACAGAGGCAGGAAGAGAAAGACCAAGAACCATAGAACTGGAACGTCAGAATACTCCTCAGATTAAGTCCAAACAGAACAAAAATGTCATCGTGTTTCCAAGATGATTTTTGTCTCCACCCCTTTTGTTAAATTTCTTTCCAGACTGAGAACTAGAGGGGACCTTAGAGATCATTTAATCCAACCCCCTCAATTTACAGATAAGGAAATTGAGGCAAACTGGGTGAAGTGACTTGCCCAGGGTCACACAGCTAGTAAGTATCTGAGGCCAGATTTGAACTCAAGAAGACGAGTCTTCCTGACTCCAGGCCTGGCGCTCCATGCAGTATGGATCATTTAATTCACTCTTCTCATTTTACAGAGGAGGACACTGAGGCACAGAGCAGAGAGGCTAGGTATCCAAGGTCAGACACGTGAGGAAGTGGTGGGTGCTGGAACCCAGGACCTCTACCCTCACCATACTGTATAGTTGAGATCATCAGTTCAGACCCTCTCATTTCATAGATGAGGAAACTGGATCCCAGAGCCCGCATATGAAATACTTAGCCAGTCATGCAAGGGGTTAGTGGCAGAGCTAGGATTCAAACCCAGGTCATGAGGAAAAGGAGACACGGTGTAGGGCCAAGAGACCTGGATTGAGGGAAGTCAGAGGACCCCAGAGTCCTGCTTTGCTTTATCCTACTTGAGTGACCTTGGGAAAGCCACTGGGCCTCAGTTTCCTCATCTGTAAAATTAGAGGTTCTAATTACTTACTTACTGACCTCCAAGCTCCCTCTCAGCTGACCCCCCACAATCATGTGATTTCAAGCCAGAGCTCCCTTCACACAAGCAAATGAGTCAAACCTTCCAGTCACGTGATGGTAGCTAGTGTTTGTCTGAACCACTTCTCCGGGAACATACTGTTTTCTCAGCAGAATTTCAGCTCCTGGAGGGCAGGGAATGTCTCACTTTTGTCTTTGAAATCCTTGCTCACAGCACAGTGCCTGGCACACAGTAGGCACTCAATAAATCTGATTGACTGACCTCAGAGATCATCCAGTCTATACTCCCCATTATACATATGGGTAAACTGAGATCCAGAAGGAAGCGTGGACCTCCACAACATTCTGGCCATGCCTCTCTTAATGGCACATTGCATCTGGCCCTGATCTAGATGGATTCACTCAAACTGATCTTCCCAGAACCCAGGTCTGGCCATTTAATTCCTCCACACAATAAACTCTAGTGAATCTTTATTGCTTCCAAGATCAAATATAAAATTCAGGGACACTGGCCTCTTTTCTGTGCTGTCACACAAAATATTCCAACTCCCTACTCCAGGCATTTACCCTGGCTGTGCACCCTGCCAGGACTGCTCTCCCTCCTCATTCCACCTCCAGGCTTCCCTGGCTTCCTTCCAATCTCAGCCCAAATCCTACCTTCTGTAAGATGCCTTTCTTGACCCTTCTCCACTGTTGGTGGCATCTCTCTGAGATTACCTTCTCTCTCCTCCCATAGAGAACTCATTCGAACATAGTTGTTTGCATCTTGTCTCCCCATTAAGACTGTGAACTTTTGGAGGGCCAGGATTGCCTTTTGCCATTCTTTGTATCCCCAGTGCACAGTGCCTGGCACATAGTAGGTGCTTTTTAAAAAATCTGACTAAGTGCATTCCTTACCTCCCTGAGATGGGTTCAAGAGACCACTAAGGGTTCTTATAATTCTAAAGATTCTGTGAACTCCTGGGACCAGGTCTTATCCATCTCTCTGTCCTCCAGAATGAGCAGTCCAGGGCCTTGCC